AAAGCTGAAACTAGCCGTTGGGCCCTTTGAGAAGGAGGCCCAACAGCTATATTCCTGGGCAGGCCAAGCCCGGCCCATTACGGGCATGGCGGGCCATGCTTCATGCAGAGTGCCACGGGCCGCGGGCGGCACAGCACGTGCTGCCATGCCATGCTGGCCCATGGGCCTTGAACCCCCGGCCCAGCACAGCACAGACCTTGCTGGGCCTGGCACGGCCCGTTAGCCGTCGTGCCGTGCCGGGCCGGGCCGCGCCGATTTACACCTCTAGTTTCAAGTCAACAAAATCCAAACTACGCAAGAAAAATATCCGTGGCCGGATTCTCAAAATGTTCAGTGACACACGGCAATATAACGACTGCAAATAGTCGACTCAATGTACAGTTTATTTATCCCTTTTATTTTTGGCAAAGAGGGAGAAGAGAATCAAGAGATGATAGTGGCTTGGATATTTACCTTCTTTTCAAGAAATTTATACACTTACCACAACCGCACCCAAAGCATAAAATTAACCAGGCATTGCTGCCAATTTTTACTTCAAGAAACATAACAGACTTGATGCGAAGGCCCCAGGATTTTGATGTAGCAGAGAAAAAGATATACTTCAATCCATGAGTATATAATTCAGGGGCTCCCACCCAACCAACTAAAGGATTTCCCTACCTTCTACAGTCAGTTGGAAAACCTCTAGCTCCACGCCTCCACCACTGAGAATATTGTTTCCTACTTTCCTTATTCCTTCATCATGGAGCCCTGAATCTTTAGCTAAAATATTGATACAATAAGCAACAGCTTAACAAATGAAACTTTCTACGGAAAAGAATTGTCCTGTTACAACCCAACCCACAAGCTAAAAAATCTCTATGTGAATTGCTGAGTTGCCATTCAAATTCATCCAAAGAAATAAGATCATCGAAAATTTTTCAAAACTGAAATTTCATATGATAACTGATGACTTATTGCTGCAACTCAGAACCATAAAAAAGGGGGAAGAAAAAAATATAGAAAGGAAAAGAATAGATAAATAAGAAGTAATAGCAGCAGAGTAGTAGTCTATCAAAAAAAAAAAAGCAACAGAATAGTAAGTAGATCACTGGAAAGCTAAAAGAGATTGCCAACAGAAATTAATAGGAATAATAATTATCTTCTTTTTACATTATTGGAAAGGATATACTACAAAAACAGAGAACTGAGGAGTCGGAAGGGATATGTTACTGAATGTTAAATTTGAAATATATCATCCATTCCTGCAACTAAACTAGGAGATCCTAGAACATCTTTGAAACTATCATCGTCGGTAGGCACAAACCCATCTAACAGATCCTCGAATAAATCATACCCCGAGCAACTAGCTGCAGCATCGCCTTCTCTCAATTGGGTTTCTTCATATTCTTCTCCTTCCTCCTCGGCATCTTCTAAATCTTCGTCATCATCCATTACTACTGCCTCCTTCGATTCCTCGTACGCTTCTGCAACAACAGCGGGCATGTGACCTTCAAACAGTGCCATATGCCCGAAGAGCTTATCCTTTCTAGAGAAGCTCGTGCCACACGTGCAACGCCACTTGGGCTCGCCGCAGTGCTTCAGGTGGCTCTTGAGATCGGCCACGACGGAAAAGCTCTTCTTATTGCAGCGGTTGCAGGAATACATCTTTGGGCAATGGCTTCTTTTGAAATGATTCTTCACGCAGATGGCCGACTTCAAGGGTCGGAATTTCTTGTGAGATTTGTTCCGGTTGCAGCCCACGAAGGGGCAAGAGAAACGTATCTTCCGTTTTACTCCGGCCAATCTGTCGGGCTTTGCCAGGGCCTCCGGCGTCTTGAACTGATCACCGTGAGCGCGCATGTGCATACGAAGATTGGCATCTCGTTTGAATCCCTTACCGCAGATATCACAGATGTGGATGTGCTCCGCCAGTAGTTCCACCGCATCTATTTCGACAATTTCACCTCCTTCATCATCGATCTCAGTTTTGATCCCCTCGTCGGAGATCGCCGGCGAAAATTTTGTACTTGTCATCTCTTCCGAACCCAAAGAAATCGTCATCGGGGTTTCAAGATCAGGATTAGTGGGTAGCGTTCCCGGGGTCAAATTGGACCTCGAACCTTTCATCGTTTCTACGGTAATGGGCTGGGTCTTGGGATGAACCTTTCCAGCGATCAAGTAGCTCGAATCAGATGCTTTTGAGGAGGTGGCAAGAGAACTCCCCGGAGCCAAGGGATCCGGCTGGAATGGAACTCTTCCGGCCATCGGGCGAACACCCGAGGGTTCTAGTACTTGAGAAGAAGCAAGATTGTGGTCAGGCGGCTGGTGCTGGTAACAGGCGAGTAAAGCCGCGCCGTTTACAATGACGTGCTGAATGGCAGAGGAGATCTCGGTGGAAACCATATCCATCTTATTCTTCCCAATAAAGGTGTTCCGTTTGACCGAATCAGATAGGAATTCTTGAAGCGAGTCCATCTTCTGGCGAAGCAAGGAGAGATTGAAAAGAGGGATTCGAGGATCCCCACTGGAGAAAGGGATCATCTGGAAACCAACCCCGTGCCCTGTTGAGACACAGGAAAGATTAGCCTCTGCAGCCGCTATTTCATGTCCTCCGGCCGAGCAGCCGCCGGGAGAGTGAAGAAAATACCGGTCGGAATCAAGCATATTGTTGTGGCTAATACCGGAGCTCAGAATTGGTGGATGACATGTTTATAAACAAACAAAACAAAAAGAAAAGAAGAAAATTGAAGGAAGCGTGTGTCATGCACCCCTTCCCTTGGAGCTGACATCTGGGGCTCTCCTTATGGTTCTAGAGACCAGAGACTTGACCCACCAAACACTTCATTTTACATTTGCTAGCTCCCGGGCACATGCAATCAAACGGAGAAAAAGAGAAAGAGAGCACTTATTTTTAACATAATCATTTCCAAACATGACCTAATTAGTATAAATAAATAACAATATACTTAAAATGTTTTTTTAAGGAATTTATTTGTATACAGTTATTATTATATAAAGTTGCTCTTAGAGGCAAAAATTAAAAAAAAAAAAGTCATTGAATTGCTCAAACTTTTATGAAATCAAAGGGAATCTTTGTTTATAAAATGTCAATTATACAAAGAAGACAAAAGGTTGTTCTGAGTTTTGACAACGAAATCACGTGAGTTTTTTGTTTATAAAATGCCAATTAATTATGAAAAGAAAACAAAAAGTTGTTTTTTTGAGTTTTGACAAAGAAATCATGTGAACTCTCTTGGCTTACAGAGGAGTTTCCTCAGCATTACTTCTTCGGTCTTCAAAATCAAAATAGTAGCTTAAAGCAATCTTGTCCATGTTTGGGTAAGTTTGAGTTCAATACCCAAAGATTCAAAGAGGTTTTTTTTTTTTTTTTTTGGCTTTGGGCAGGTTTTCTCCTAATAAGATGACATCTTCAGCTTGTAGCATTAAGGTGGCATTAAATTAAATAAAAATGAAGTTGGATATCTGAAAAGTAGAAAAGCCTTTTTCACGGATCTCATATGAAAAACAATAATTTAATTTTTTTTTTTTCTACTAGCTATTTAGAGACTTTGTAACTATGGGTACAATTGAACTGAATTTTATCATGTCTTGATTTGATTCGACTATAATAATTTTATATTTGAATTCGAGTTCGATTTCAATTTGAATTCTATTTTATTATTCAAATTCGGTTTGACTAAATTGAGTTCAGTTCAGTTCAGTTCGAGTTCAATTTGACCTATATTTTCTTGTTTAAAAGTACAAAAAACTAATTGAACTTGCATGTTTGAATTTACAAGCTAAAATTCGAACCCATATCAAATTTAGTGAGAGAAGAAGAAGTTGTGACTTTCCCACTTATTCTTTGCTGGTGGTGAAAACAGAAGAGCAAAAAGGATACCATATAGGCTAATATTATAAGTTGTTTTATATATGCTTGTAAGTTTTATTAATTCTGCCTCCACTTATTACTACTATAATAATAATGGTTTTAACAATAAGTGGGACTCATTAATATACTTCCTGATCACGTGGAAACTATTTATTTATAACGGAAAACATTTTCAAAACCCGATGGCACACCCATTATTTAGAATTAATCTAAAATTTCTGAGCCAACAACATCTTAATTCCTGGTCCGTTAAGGCTCACATGCACACACTATTATATAATTTTAGGAGACAGCATTCAATACTCACGAAGCCTTTTTCATCGATATATTAGGAATATCTCCCATTTAGAAAAGGACAGTGAAAAAGCACAATCTTACAAGGACTAAATGGGATTCTAATTTTAGCATGAGCGTTCCCACATGGATAATATGAACATGAAAATCGAATCTGCTCCTCACACTCGCTTCATATGCATATCCTACCGTGCATATGTTTTCTATTTATAAATTTTATTCACGGGTGATATTTCCAATGCAAGGTGGATCTAACTGTGAGGCGCTCATATGTGAGGAGCACATCCCCCATCCGCATGAGGCGGAATAATTATGATTATCGTCGTTTGGACTTCATATAAAGTAAACACCGACTTTTGTATTATCTTATATCGAAGCTTCTAATGCAGCCACAAAAATAAAATAAGGCTTTAACCCTTTAATTGGATTGGGTATTAACAAAAGTGTATAAAGATATATTTGGCGTGTCTTTTCGCATCTATGACAGCATGCGTTTTGGTCTTATTCCGTTTGGTTGGGAAAACATCTAATTGTGGAAAGTCGTAATAGTGAAGATATGGAAATTTTGGACTATTTTCATAAAATTCTAAGTGGAGTTTTTCACCTTTTTTTCAATTCGTTTTTAAACTGAAGGATGCGTCTTAACCAAACGGTCTTCAAACTGCTAAGATTTTGAAGCAAAAACTCACATCATCTTTTTACTGTTAGAATTTCTATAAAAATTTTCTAAAAAGACTTGCCAAACGGCCTCATAGTCCCCATTCAAATCCTAAAATCTCCCTTTCTATCCTTCCCTCTCTTTTTCTCTCCGTTTAATTTTGGTTTTAATAGGGTTGGAACTTGGAACAAACAATTAAGACCCTATGTTATAACTCAAATTTTGATACAAATCCAAACTTAGGGATGACAATTTCCCCCATAAAATTGGGGCTCACCCCACCCCACTCCGAATGGGGCAAGTTTTCCTCAACCCTAAACAGGAACGGGGAAAATATTTTTTCCCTGAACCGGGGACGAGGTGGGGACATGTTTTGTATATATTTCCCTAAACCTACCCTGAACTCGAAGGTAAATTAGTAAAATATTTCTAGCTTTAATATTGATATTTAAAATATCTCTAAGGTTTTCCCTAAATTCTAAAAATCCTAGGATCCCATAATTCTATTTTTGAATTACCTCTAAAGTATTATAATTGAATTTCTAGAATACCCCCAAATTCCTATATCCTATGTGTAAGTTGTCTATAAAATAGATAATTTTTAAATAATTGCCTTAGAACAAAAAAAATTCAGGAATTCCCCATCCCCAACCAGGAGTGGATGCCTCGCCCCGAACCCACCCCGCCACCAGGAACGGGGCAAAGTATCTTGACTACGGGGTGGGGACGAGGAGGGGGTACCCCACCCCAAACCTTTTTTAGTGGGTATTATACCAATAGGCCTATGCAACCTTGCTTACAATAAAATATTTTCCCCACACGTTTGATTTGTATCCACACACATCTCACCATGGTGCGTCCTAGTTTCATGAGAAGATGTGTGAATATAAATCATATTGGAAAAATATTTTGTTGAGCCCCTCTACAATTGTACATTGGGAATATCTCCCTTGTCATTCATGGGAAGATGTTCCAAATTATGTGTGGCTATAGTGGCCAGGTGGGACATGTTAGAGTGTTTAGTTGGTAGTGGATTTGTATTCGTCTAATAGATTAATAGGGTCAAGTTTGATATAAAGTTGATCTAGACCATTGACAACCCTTTTTTCCAACTATAAATAATAAGAACAACGTTAGAGTAATAGGGAAAATTAGTAAATAAAAGAAATAATGTAAAGTATTATTTGTTTGATAAAAAGAAAATAATTTAAATTTATAAAGTATTATTCGACATATTTTGCAATCAAATCAAGCCCTAATCGAATAGTTCGGGCTTGAGTTCAATTCTAACCAAGCTCAAATCGAGTTTGAATCTTGGGGTAAGTTTGAACTTGAGCTCGACCAATAAAAACTTAAAAAGTTCAGTTCAAAAGCTCGTGAGCTTGGCTCAATTAAAACATACATAATGTGTATATATTATAGAAATATAAAAATACATTTTATAATATATCTTATGCAAAATATATTATTATATTCTATATATAATATAAGAATATACTATATATTGTAAAAAATATGTCATATATAATATAAAAATATATTTATTTTCGAGTTTCTGAGACAAACTCAAACTCATCAAATATTTAATTGAATCAAACTTAAACTGAAAAATATAATCTGAATCAAGCTCGAGCTCAACTCAAATATGATAGTATTTTAGTTGAGCGGAGCCAAGACATGCCAAAATTTGGCTTGACTTGGTTTGATTTCAATGCCAAAAGTGATCGAAGTAATAGCACGAGACTACAATTTGTGGACGCAAAACCAAATATATAGAAAACACAACACTACATTCAAAGTGATGTTACGGTTTCTGGTCACGTATCAAATTTTTGGCTAAGTACCTCGTCATCTCGTCTGCTCCCAAGTGGCCGATGACTCAGAGGCTGAAGTGGAGCTCCCTAGTGTAGTGCAACCCAGTTGTTCCCTATAGGAGATGATCTGCTTCTCTTTGTAGACGGCGGGAACTGAGGAACCCATCCTCCCTGCAGGAGATGATCTGCTCATCTTTGTAAACGGCGGGAACTAAGGAACCTGTAAGAACTGAATCAGAGAACCCGGGAGTATTTACCCGATGAGGTCACTCCGATGGCTAAGTCAGTACTTAGTTGTGAGCTGAAAATGATTTTAGAGAATGGGAGAGCTAGAGGGCAGAGATTATCATCTTCTCTCTTTTTCTTCCCTGGGGGGTGAGGTCTTTATATACTGGAGTCCTCGTGGGTTTGGTGGAGCAGTTCCTGGATTCCCGCTGTGATGGGACCTGTTTTCGTGTTAGGTGGGGATAAAGCCACCAACTGATAAGGTTGCTCACATCCGTCTGAATCAGGGAGTGGGTGAGATAATATAGCCGTTACAAGTCTCAATCCTGTAAAAAGTGGGGTACGGTGGTGAGGTCCTAGGGGTTGTCACATATTGGCGAGCTGCTTGGTGGCGAGCTGCCTAGTGGCAAGCTGCCTGTGAGGTGCCGAGCTACTCGGAAGCGAACTGCCCGTAAGGTGGCAGGCTGTATGATGGTGAGCTGCCCATGGCGAGCTGCCTGTAAGTGGCGAACTTCCTGTGGCAAGCTGCTTGTAAGGGACGAGCTGTTTGGTGTCAAGAAGCTGCACCTAGTTGTCATGAGGTGCCAAGTGTCATAATGTCATTGGAGGGCCAAATCCGCCCTCATCACAAAGGTTTTGGGGTTGTTTCGTAAGAATATATGTTTGTAATGAAAATGAAGGAATGAAGGCAATTTTGCTTTTTTTTTTTAATTCTTTTAACATTTTTGCATTTAAGATTTGAACAATTTTTACTTCCAAAAAATGAAAGCAAACTTTGCATTCGAGGTTGGTCAATATAAAATAGATAAATTTTAATCTTGACATTCACATTTGTACCCATTACAACTAAACACAATATAAGACTAATCAATACAAAATCAAACCAGACTTATATTCATAATTTTATAAAATTTGCATTTACATGTTGCATATACTTCATCTTACACTTACGTTTTG